CCTTTACGCAACCAGTCCCCGTACCCAATCTCTGAGACCAGTTAGGGTTCCTAGTGACCAAAATACTAGGTGGCGACTCCCAATCCATTTTCCACCAACAAAAGACAATATTTTCTTATCCCTCTATATTTTCCAGATAGATTATTATACATTTCTAGATAAAAGTGGAAAACCCGCCGCGACGCCGCACATGTGCGACAAAGATAAATAAAAACTCAGCATGGACTTGTGACTTGTGGCAAAAAAATGTAAAAATCATAGGATTTCTTGTTTTTTTTATATTGAGAAAATTGTATGAATTTAATGAATAAGTTCTTTTTTTTCTTTTTGTTGTTAATATACAAATTATTAACCAATTAACTTCTCTCTCCTCTTGTGAGAGAATACCATCTGATCAAACACCCGTTTGTTAAACATTCTTCTTGTTTTCAAAGCCTCAAGTTAGTTAGTTAATTATTTGATTTCATGAATATAAGATATTGTGATTATTTATGAGTTTAATGTTGGGGATTCCGGCTCCCCATGCGCGGACCGATAGTGTTCTGATAGTTGCTTATTGGAGGTTAAACACTGATACAATATTTAACATGGTTTGACAAATCGCCTACATCCATGGAAAAGAGTTAATATTATTAGAGATAAATAGAAAAAAGGGTTACAACACACATGGAGAAAGATGATCACTTCACTTAAACTCTACTCCCAATTCTCTTATTGTACTTGCAGCTTTCTCTCTCTCTCTCTACTCTTTTTACACACACTCACTACCCTCTGCTCATTTTGCTCTCTCTCTCTCGGTGTCTTTTTATAGACAAAAATGATGTCACAGCTCCAGCTCTTCTTCAACAAAGATGGTTGCCAACTCTAGTTCTTCTTTAATAATAGTAGTTGCCAGCGTTTAACATCTTGGATGGATGCACATAATTGGTGTAACTCCAGCTGTAACTGCTCTAATAGTCAATGGTTGCACATTAATAATACCAGTTCTTCTTCAGTAATAGTAGTTGCCAGCCTTTAACATCTTGAATGAATGCACATGATTGGTGTAACTCCAGCTGTAACTGCTGTAATAGTCAATGGTTGCACATTAATAATAACTAATCCAACATTTAACAGTAATATTGACATGAGAATCTGTTGTACAACGAAGGTGAGTTGGATCAGGATCAATATTGGCAAGATTTCTTGCATAGCATGCACCATAGTAATTTAATCCAAGAATGTCATAAGATCCTTGAAGATCTGAGGTTTCCTGGGCAGTAAAATATGGCAATCGATCTCCGACTAAAGTTCTCATGCTCCTT